GGGACTGTAGTCGCCCGTGTCCCCCTGCTCGGGGACCTCGCAGCCGTGTCCCCCCATCTGCAGACCCGTGGAAGGGTGGCCCCAGACAAGGGTCCGCAGACTCGTGTCCTCGCGCCCGGGGACTGCACATCCGCAGCCCGGGGTCCGCAGGGGCGTGACTCCAGTCCCGGGGCCGCAGGCTCAGCCGTGTGTCCTCCCGCCCGGGGACTGCAGCCCCGTGTGTCTCCCAGCCCGGGGTCCGCAGGGGGTTGATAACGAGAAGTAGACGCCAAAGAAAGAATTTAAGAAGGCACCGGCTGAGTAAACAAAGTACGCCCCAAAAAGCAGTTAAGGGCAGGCTAAGTGAACAAGGGAAGAAATAAATGAACATAGTAGTTCACAACAGGATGCTGCTTTATCTGACCAAACGTATAGAACACTCAGTTTTAGGATTGCTTTAGCTTGTTAACGTAAAAGAGTGTTGAGCTTGCTAAAGTTAGTGAAAAGCAAATATAATGCGCATGTGCTAAGGGATGAGGTGAAAAGTTTGAACTGATGAAGACTACCAGCCTTCCTCTTGAATACCCCCAGACGACCCCCAGAGACCATTGGACTAATGCCAAATGGGGGGGCGAGGGAGAAGAATATGATAATGATTTCCGAGGACTAATAATAACCACCCATTCCTGGAAATAATGAATATACCACCCATCTCTGGAAGGAATGTATAAAAAACCATGAAGTTTTGTCCCTGGTTGCACAGGTTTGGTGGAACGATCCCCCTTGTGCCCAGTGCTGAATAAAATACCTGCTACTCAGAGATACAAGGCTGGGAGTAGTTCTTTTCTAGCTTTTCTTGGCATCAGGGTGACCCAGCCCCGGGGCCACAGACTCGTGTCCTCACATCCGGGGACTGCAGCCCCGTGTGTCCCTGCCTGGGGAGCTGCTGGGGGGTGTCACTGAAATCAGGAATAAAACTCCTTAACCCCAATGCAGTGTGAAGAGGCAGCACTCTTTCTTGCAACGCTGGATGTGCAGGGGAATAATTCCACTTGACCTGCATTCCAACCCTCCAGATTTTTGACTATGTATGTATTTCAGCCAATGAAGAAATTACTGGTCTTTGGTTACAAGTTACCTAACTCTTACGAATTAGTACTCTCTCACTAATGGTTAGTGACTCTCTTGCTTCCCATGCTAATTATAGATTCATAGATTGTTAAGGGGTTGGAATGGAGCATCTTACAGATCATCTAGATCTTACAGGTCATTGAGTCCCAACCCCCTGCCCTGGGCAGGGACACCTCCCACCAGAGCAGGTTGCTCAAGGCTCATCCAACACTGCCAGGGTTGGGGCAGCCACAGCCTCCCTGGGCAACCTGGGCCAGTGTCTCACCACCCTCACAGGAAAAGCTTCTTCCTAATATCTAACCTAAATTTCCCCTCCTTCAATTTGAACCCATTACCCCTTGTCCTATAATTGCAGTTCCTAACAAAGAGTCCCTCTGCAGCTTCCCTGGAGCCCCTTCAGATATTGAAAAGTTGCTCTGAGGTTTCCATACAACCTTCTCTTCTTTAGGCTGAACAGCCCCAACTTCCTCAGCCTGTCCTCACAGGGGAGATGCTCCAGTCCTCTTATCAATTTTGTGGCTGGACTTGCTCCAACATTTCCATGTCCTTCTTAGGCTGAGGGCATCAGAACCATAAATTAGTCCACTTTTGAGTCTGTGGGCTTCTTGGAGGTCTTCCATGAGGGTTTTTGGTGGTCTCTGGTGGTCCCTAGTGGTTGTTGGAAAGATCTCACTTAGAGTCATTTCCATGAAGTTTGGGTCTTCCTTCCATGTATGGTCCTGGCTTAGCTCATTACCTCATTTGCAAAGACTATCAAGTCCCTTGATAGTGCAAGAATTTATGTCCTTGGGTGCATTTTTGTCTGATGCCCCTTACAACAATTCCCCTGCTTTGAGACTAAGACAGTCTTAGACTAGATAAATTCTTTTAGCTACCTTGCTATTTCTGTATCAGGGATGAGCCCCACCCTGGGGGGCTGTGTCCACCTCGATGTGCCACCAGAGCTGAACTCCTCACACACCTCACAAGGAGCAGAGGCTGTCACAGAGGGCAGTGGTGTGTGAAGCACACAGGGTGGGCAAACACCAGTATTCGTCCCTGTTCTAATAAAGTAAGAGTTGCAAAGATGCAAAAGCGTTAATAGTGTGTCAGTGCTATGAAACTTGGTAAAATGGCAACACTTGGGGCGATGGGTTTCTCTGCCCTGAGTTGCGTGCTAAGAGTGGTGCACACAGGAGAGAGGCTATGAATAAGAGATGGGGTTCATTTAATTTTCAGTAGGATCTCAGCTTCTGGGGTTGGGGAAAGCTGCTCCTGAGACTGTGGCACAGACACAGGGAACACAGGTATCGAGTTCTGCTTCCACTTGGTGCAGGAACATTCACTGTGTTGGGACCATCGGGAGAGGGACCTGAGCAGGCTTTGCACGAGCTAACATTACAAACACAACCAGCATCTCTGCTTTTTGTCACTCGAGCCATTGGTTTATGGGATTTACCAGCACTGGAAAAATGGATTTGCTCTGTTCTAATTAAAGAATTAATTAAAATTAATTAATGTAAATGTCGTAGTGTGAAAACTGTGTTGCCTCCGTCTCCTTTTTGCATTTCTCAGTGTGCTCGATCCTTCTGAAACACGCTGCGAATTCAGCAGGTTTTAGAAGCATTTACTTTCTGCTTTTGGTGACAATGTGGTTGTGTGATGCCTTGGAAGATGACTCTGATCCTGGAGGAGTGAGGATCTGCACAAAACCAGAGTTTTGGTGAGGACAATTGCATTTAACATAGAAGGGGCTGGGTAAAACCCCTGACTGGGGGATTTCCATGTGTTCATATCTATTCTATTTGAAAGTAAAGATGATAATATGGACAGCAAGAAAGTGAAATTTCCAAAAGTAGATTGTTTCACACTAGAGATTTTTACTGAGCTGGCAGTAGCCAGGATAAACATCCTAAACACTGTATCCATGGGCAGAAATATTTTACATTTCTAATCTCATATGATGTCACTGTGGTACAAAAGTCCTTTAGAACAAACCAGTTTGATCCCAGCATGGGTCTGTGCCCTTTCTCCAATCCCCATTTAACAATGTGCTGCTTTTTATTTGCATTAAGCTGTCTGACCAGTTTTCTTGCAAGCCTAATGGATTAACTTTTACTTCCCGTTTCCTTAGCAGAGATGCAGTATCGAAGTGCTTTTTCTCTTGTTTACCTTGGGAGCAGACGGTTCTCGTTCTTCTAGTTCTCCTGCACAGAGCAGCCAGAGCCAGGGACACACTGTCTGGAGGAGTTTCTCTGGGAAATCCAGTCATGTTAAAGCACAGCCTACTTTTGTTCACTTTTGGACTAACTTTAACTGGAAAACCTTTCTGGATAAAAGGTAAGCTTTCTTTTTATTTATATATATTCAGAAAGTTTCTCCAAGTCTTCTTATCCTGTTTGTAATGATGATTCCCTTCACATCAAGTCACAGCTCTCCCTGCTTATGGGCTATGAGCTGACCTGCTCATTGAGAATATAAAAGTGTCTGGGAAAGATTACAAGTTAAGGCTTTTTATAGCTGAGCTCTTTGTGTTTGTTTTTTTTCCTCCAGGATGTAGTAGGTATGTAAATACATCATCTTCCATACAGGACACTGGTGAGAACTGCAGTTACTGTCACTCTCCTCAATAGCAAAGTGCAGAAAAAGATTTCTTCTTCAGTTACATGAAGGAAATTTCTATAGTTTCATTAAAGTTCTTCATTAACTCATTTACATTTATGATTTGGCTTCAGCTTTGAGATTTAAATGTGACACCTGAAATATTCCTTAGAAAGTGATGGGTTTGTGATGTATTTTTATGACATACATTAAAGATGTTTTTCTGCTTGGTGTCAAAACTCACATTGTTAAAAGAGCATCTCCACTGTTAGTTCAACAAACAGCTCACAAAGCAGAATGGATTTGTGATTTAGATAATAAAATTATTGAAGATTAACAGCCAAGTAAGGGGGAAATACCAAGTGCTGATATTCTTTTCAGACCTGTTTGCTAATAGCAACTGCCACATTTTGATTCCAGTGACAGCCTGTAATGTTAAAGATATGCTACCTGCACCTAGCCTTTAAAAATCCTGATGCTATCTAACAGGTAGAGATCATCTTTGCACTAAAGAATCCTCCTCCTTGCTCTCAATGGGTGGTTGTGTGGCTTCTGTGCAACTACAGATTCCTTTCACAGAAGCGTGGGAGGCTGAGGGTGACTTTCTACTACTATAAATGTGAAGAAATCTCTTTGTTACCTTATGAAAGAATAATTTAAGAAGGAAGAAACCACTTTTCTTAAACCCCTTTTATTGTTGATTCTGTAACCAGTTTAAAAGCAGCGGTTGTGTCTCTGTTGATCCAAGTCAACACTCAAAACAGCTGATGAGCAGACAAGAAAAAGGAAGATGAATTCAAATTCACACAGTTTTAAAAAGTCATTAGAGATTGTTTTTTTCATTTATAAAACCATTTACCTGAAGCCAGATACTGGGCAGACTTCTTATCTTTAGCTTCCTGCATTAGCATGGTGTTCTGGAGATAATCCTGATACCTACAAACCTTTTGCAAAGGTTTGAGTGTTGCTAGAACAAACAAATTGCAGCATTAGGCAATGGCAGGAGCCAGGATGATACACACAGGAGGTGGAAGAATTCTTTCCAGAGGACTACTATAACTATTACTCATTCAGGGCAATGCAGAAAAGAATATGAGTAAGGGGATTTAAATGGAAGGAGAGGGCAGAAGGGGGAGTTGATTTAATCAAGGAAATGACAGAAGGAAGTAGAGACATGAGGAAGAGGGAGAAGATAAACAAGTGATGGCCTAATATTAGCTAGAAGGAATTACCACAACAAATGACTCTGTAACCAGTAAAAAAAGTTCACCAGTGTATTTAGGGAATACAATATTTTCCAATTCTCTGTCTAACAAGTTCTAAAACATCCTGGCAAAGTTGGATCCACTATTCAAAACAATTGTACCATACATACATCAGCCACTCCTAGAGAGCTATGCTGTAGACTTAGGGATGAGCACACTCCTCCTGGCACCAACGAGGCAATTTCACAAAGCTTAAATGAACCTAACTCTCTTTGAGTTGTTGCCATCTCTTGCATAGTTGATTTTAACTGGTCAGCTATGTCCAAAATTCCTGTGAGGTGACAGATGTGTGGACAGAGAAGGTAACTGCATCCATTCTCTGTGGTACATCAGGTTAAAAGTGTTATGTAAGAAAAAAATGTTTCAAAATGTTAGACAAAGTCACAAAGCTAATAAATTCAGAATACGAGTAATTAAGAATCATTAATTTCTCTTGGTATTGTCTATGTGAAGGAATAAGAAAATTCTGGGCTATTATCCCATTTATAATGTAAGTAACTAAGACCAAGAGTTAAAGCCAAGACTGCCAGAAGTTTTGGACACCCTGTTTAAGAAACCTTTGGCTTGAATTTGCAGTTTTTAGTACTTTACATCAGTTGTCTTTGGACTGATGTAGTCATTACCCTTGAATATAGCCACAACTGCATATATTCAGTTTAAGCTCTCAGAAATGAAGAGTAACTTGGCCATGATTGAAAATGTTGATTTCTGTGACTTTCCCTCATGATCCCAGAGCTCTGGCTGAGACAGAAAAGACCAAACTGAGCATGGGCAGTCAAGTCCCAGACTGGTGGAATCACTCTCCATTTCTGGCTGGATCAGGATTGTCTTTTGGCAATCACCACTGCACAGAAGTCAACATAACATCTGTTGTGGTTTTACTTATCTTTTCTGGTTCTTTACAAACTTCAAACTTTGTTTTTAGGTGTATCTTCTGAACAGACATCCAGAATTTCTAAGTTAGAAATAATCACTCCCCGAAGTCTGACAGGCAGAGAGAAGCATCACCCATTTATTCATGAGGTTTGTTGTTCCATCTGATTTTTTTCTTCTGATGTTGCTGTTTTTCACAACATTCTCCTATATTACACACACAATGTATGGTATATAGAGATTATTTTTGTAAAGAAATGTGCCCCACACTATCTCTTCATATTCTTGGTGTTTTCAACTAGTTTTGAGTAAATTTGTTCCCACCAAGACCTGTGTTTGCACTCCAAGTTAGCACCTTCCAAACTTCTAGTGCTGTTAATGGCTTTGTAAGACAGAAGTGAGAAGGAACATGAAGAATATTTCCATTTCCTATGAGTCAGATTAAATGTTGAACTTGCTTCATGCTGTCCATGTCCTGGTCCTTGGATAACCAGAGGATTTCAACCACATAGCACCTAAAGAGGAAAAATGGCCCCACAGATTACACAAATGAGTTAGAAGACCTGAGCCTTAATTGTTAGGTTCTGAGGTAACTTACCTTTGTGCTAGATATGGAGTTCAATCACTGAAGTAACTGTTAATGAAATAGCATTAGTCACCTTTGTGCAAACCAATTAAGGACTAAGAGCCTCTGTGAGTCGTTAATCTGATTTACATAAGGAGTGTCACAAAGCATGATGTGGTGGTTAGCAAGGAATGCAGACATAGGCTGTGCCCTCCTGTCCTCTGAGTGCAATTCATAGATTAAGAAAACTTCACCCTTACATAGGAAAGGATGTAGAATGTGCTGCTGAGACTGAAATACAGAAGGCCTGAGGGTTAGGAATCTGTGTTTTGGCAGACACTTAAAACATACACAGTGGTTGGACCTCTCTTCTCAAACAGGACATGGAACTGGTAAAAACAAATAGAAAATCACCTAATTAAAGTGATATCTTTTGTTCTGTTTCCAGGAGCATTCAGATGAGAACCTTTCTTACTCAGTTAAGACCAGAAATGGAACATACCTCCTAAAACTGAAGAGAAATAAGTATGTGACTGAGTGTTCTGAGGAATTGTACCATCTCGGGGGTTAGTTGCACACAGACAAGCATTTTCGTACTGAGAAACTTCAGAAGAAGATATTTAAACAGCAGACTGTAGCAAATACAAAATGACTCTTTTGAATAGTGGCTCTGTTATAGCACTAACTTGCAAATGGAAGGGAATAACTTTTCTAGTTGTGAAGAAATCTATTTTGAGTATTTTTTCTTAGCAGCACAAGACAGAATCATAGAATTTAAGGGTTGGAATGGACCTTAGGGATCATCTAGTCCCAACCCCCTCCCCTGGGTAGGGACACCTCCTCACTAGATCAGGTTGCTCAAGGCTCATCCAGCCTGGCCTTGAACACCACCAGGGTTGGGGCAGCCACAGCCTTCCTGGGCAACCTGTGCCAGTGTCTCACCACCCTCACAGGAAAAATCTTTTTCTAATATCTAACCTAGACTTCCCCTCCAGTTTGAACCCATTACCCCTTGTCCTGTCACTGCAGTTCCTAACACAGAGTCCCTCTCCAGCTCCTTGTAGTCCCTTCAGATATTGAAAAGCTGCTCTGAAGTCTCCACACAACCTTCTCTTCTCCAGGCTGAACAGTCCCAACTCCCTCAGCCTGTCCTCACAGGGGAGATGCTCCAGTCTTCTTATCAACTCTGTGGCCTCCTCTGGACTTACTCCAACAGTTCCATGTCCTTCTTATGTTGAGGACACATAGTAGATTTCAGAAGATCCTTAGGGAAGGTTAGAATTCAGTTCAACATTAGTAGTTAATTAACAGGAGGAGGGTTGGGAGCTGTATTGTATTTGAAGAAATTTGTCTCTCTTCTTCTCATTCCTGACCCTGTAATACACCAGTCCCTTAAGCAACTGAGTCTGCTTAGATTCTTCTCTATGAATATTTCAGTTGAAATCTTTCAAAATAACTTATTTTCCAACATTATTATTATTTCCAATATTGTTAGTATTATCATTTTCCAGCTCACTCTAAGGTATTTTGTTTCACATCCCCGGATTTTAGTAACAACTTAGCATGACTGTGCTGCTAACAGATTGTAGTACTTACTAGGATTCTGGACTTATTTCTTGCTTTCTAGACCATTAAAAGAGCAGTAGTTTCTTTTTGTTTCCAGAAAGCTTCTCAGTGAAGACTTTATGCTGTACACATATGGGGGAAATGGGAAACTGGAAGCAACACAATCAAAACATGAGGTATTGTATGTAATAAAATTCCCCTTTTGGGTCTTAATTTCCTCAAACCAGGGAAGCCAAGAAAAAATTTATTTGCTTTTGTGAGTTTTGACAGTTGTAGCATTTCTGTTTACCAGTGATGCTAAACAAGGTTTGTGAAGGAATGAGCTGTTCATGGTGATACAGCATCACTGTTTCCCAGGGTGTGAAAGGAGATGCCAGGACACTATGCCAAGTCTGAATTTGAGCTACAGGATTAGGTCACCTTTGCATAATATGTAATTAAAAGTACAATGGCAGCATCAAAGCTCTATAGTTTTTGTGTCCTGTATCAAGCAAGACTTACAAATACTTTTCATTTTAATTTTAGCTTTAAAATGCTTGTGAACTCAGTGAGGGTTAACGGGGTGGTTTGTGCATGGGAGATCTCAGATCAGCCTGTGAGAGGACTCTAAGAACAGGATGAGCAATGTAATTAAAAGGTTTTTGTAAAAGATGCTGATGGGTTAAACAAAAATTCTGGTTGTTTTCTAGAACTGATGGACCAAATGCTATTGTAGGTATCACATCAAGAGATATTTTACTCCAAGAAGACTAGGATTACCTTCAAACTAGGGAACTCAGTAACCTGCAGCCTTATGTCATGCAAATAATATGGTTAATTAGAAAACAAGTTGAAGGCAACCACCTTGTTCTGCCACCAATGATGTGGGTTTGTTGCATTCCAGACACACTGTTATTATCATGGCACTGTAGAAGGAATTGCTGACTCGACACTTGCTCTCAGCACCTGTGATGGCCTCAGGTATTACCTCCTGCTCTTTACTTCAGGATAATTCCTTGTGAAACAGTAAAAATCCAGTTGCTATTCCTCATACAGCTGGAGAGAAAACACCATCCTGTCTTGCAAATATTTCTTTTCATATTTAGCCTTTTGATGAAGCTGAAATTCTTTACAGGTTTTATAGTTTCCATTGGCTCCCAAATTTTTCCCCCTTTCCCAAAATTCCTTCACACACACACACACAAAAAAAAGATTACATAAGAGAATCTAACTATAGGTAGAACCTGGGCATGGACTGATGCCTCTAGTACCTGATGAGCTACTTGAACAGAGATACCTTTGTGGGAGAAATGTTACCTGATGAAGCTTTTGTTGAAATCAAAGCACTCCTACAAACAATTCTGTGTTCAATTTTAAAATCAAATAATTTCCAGGAGAAAATCTGGACCAAATCTGAAACAATTTTTTATGTTTCAAATGCAATAGAATTACATTTATTTGAGAAATGTCAAGGGGCCGGTTTAATGCACAAAAGGTGGTGGTGTTTTCCCTGCAGAATCAGTCCATAGGAGTTGGAAAACTGAGGTAGCATGTACAGATATTCATGGCATGCAGATATTCAGTGCTTCACTGAT